TATTTGAAATATATGAGTTTGTACAGTATGTAATGTATGAATATAATACTGTATACAAGTTTCACTTTTTAAATGGAATTACTGAAATAAATCTACTTTTTCATGATATTCTAATTTTATGACCAGCACCTGTACTTAAACTATACAATGTTGTAAAAGACTTTTAAATAAATTATGAACAGATTGTTGTTTATTTTTATAAAATAAACATTCAATTCAACTCCTTATCACAAGTGATTATTTGCATTTTAATTATTGAAAATTCATACAATTACTTTGGAAAACATTCTTTTTTCTTTATAACTACTGTACCAATGTCACTGTCAAATCCTGCAGAGAGCAGGAACAATTAATGTAAAACTGGTTAGTTTGATGTTGCTTGCCTCAGAAACAAATCTGTCTTTAGTCTTTACATGTGGTGAAGGTAAGGTTTTTAATATAATTTTGTTTAAGATTTATTTAAAACCCAGGTTGTAGATTCGAACTAAAAACATAAGCATGAAGAAATAACGCTTTAAATTACCTTTTTTTACTTGTTTTCAGAAAATAATAAGTAACTAGCAGCACTCAGAGAGTGCAAACCTCCACCAAGACCAATTTCCCCCATCCTGTAATGGAGTTAATGCGCAAAAGCAGAGATGGAAACACATTTGCCGAATAAATTAAAACATCTACAGTTTCAAAATAGAAGTCCAGCTAGCTTAAAAAAGTATTGATTTATTTAATGCCTCTAACCTCAGGAAAAGCTTCAACCTGTTTTTGAGGACATTTAATTTATACTAGTTGTCTTTTAGTCGGATGAACTCTTTAAGTTTATTTTTTATTTTAAGTAAAACATATATTTATATTTTTAATTCATAGTTAAAAACATTTTATATGTATATGGTACTGCTAATCTTATATAGCTGGGAAAGATTTAAATAAGCACAACTTGGGACTGAAGAGGATAAAACTGGTGGGGCACAGCCCCCCGTGGCCACCCCGACTTGTTGCGCCCCTGGTGACTGACAGGTGATATTCCACAGTGAAATGACGAGCTGGATCACCACACATCTCTGTTGGATGTAGCTGGTACAAGACTTTTCAAATTCATCTTCTGAGTTGTTCGTAAGCACCACAGAGCTGATTTGTTGTCAGGCTGAGCTTTATGGGAGAAGTTTTCTGTTTGAAGCCGCTCGGCCCTGTTAGAGCCGCTGCACTGTGCTTCTCTCTGCTGGATGCCAGAGACAAGAGATTTAATTTATGCGGCACTAATAGGGACAAGGCATTTATTATTTTGTGAATGTTTAATTTTTAATAAGCGCCATTGTTTGTTTTAGTCGCCCGCACGGGATTAATGGGAATAGTTTTTTCTGATCTCCGCTCTTCATCGTCAGCTCAGGTGGCCGCTCTGTTGCGCAATCAGCTGTGCGGTATGATCGGCCCGACTGGTGCTGAGGAGAGGTAGAGAAGTCATTTGATATGGCATTGTTTAAAGCACAATGAATCCAGAAAAACATCAGCACCCCAGAACCTGTTGCCTCTTGTCACTTCTTGATGTAGCGCTCGCCCTGCGCTGATGCACCGCGCGCGAGAGACTGGGTTCACTTCAGCCCGTGGGCCGGTTCAYGGACTGAACCACCGGCCCTCTGACCTGCGTACAAATAGCTCTCGACTTGATCTGGCCCCATTGAAATAATAATAAAAATGAACAAACAAACAAACAAACAAACAAACAAACAACCTCCAAGTCTGAAGTTCACCGCGTGACTCCTCTTCCTCGATCTTCATCGATCTGTTTACAGGACAATGTGGTGTGTTTGAGGAAATGTGGAAATTTGAAATATTTATGTTTAATAAATTATAATGGGAGTCAATGGACCTTGTGTTGGTCCAATACTGCCCCCTGCTGTATCTACTCAGTATGGAACTGCACCATAGTTTAATAATTATATTTAATCTCAATTATTGCAGTGATTACAATGTTGATATATTTGTAATTTGATGTATTACTATATTATTGTCTTATAAGCATAAGCATCTTATATATTATTGCTCTACTGTTGTAATATTATGCAGTTCTTTGTCAACGATCGTCATTGGCAATGTTGCCTCTATCTGCACACATAGAAAAAAACACTGGGATTGTACTTTCCCAGTACCAATGGTCTTGTGGTTAATGCCATAGCCTTTCATGTGGGAGATCRGGGTTTGAATCCCAGCTACAATAAGTTTAACAAAAAAACTATTCTAACTTCATATTTTCACACAATTACCCTCATTACAAACACCTGCTGACAGCCACAAGCTGGTACTTGATTAGAAAACACATTTGAACTTGGTCAGTTCATTCTGCAAGTCCACTGCTGCAGGCAATGACATGCTACAAGGCGATGCACACTTGTTTTTACRTCGTAAAAACCCATGTCTAGTTACATCTGGTTTTAACATTACTTTTATAAAGTTTTAAGTCCGTGCTGTGTAATCCAGTTCAAATGAACACTGAAAGCTGTCACTGTTTTTACAGAAGCCCTGTGAAAGCATCACAGCTTAGCCGATCCCAGAGGATTAAAAGGAAAAAAAATTCCTGTATCCGCATCGTGATCTGAAACATCACCAAAATTTAATGGTATGTTACTTGTGCTAGTATCCACATACAGTATGTTTTAAATGTCATGACAATCCGTCCACACGTTTTTGAGTAATGTTTTCCACAGACAGACTGACATAAGCGACCGAAAACATTACCTCCTCGCTCTTGGCGGAGGTAATAATCCCTGTGCTCAGGTGCACAAATAAGACCTAAAATCATTATGGCTGTGTTCACTGGAAGGATCACCAGTGGTTCTATAACCTGCTGCAGGGTTCACCTCTACATGACTTTTTCACACATTAAAGGACAACCATCATTTCTCTCTCTTTAATCTGTTGAGACTGCAGCTAAAGTCTGAAGTCCACATTAAGACTATAAAAATATAATATGACAGAGAGAAATGTTCTTCTGCCAGTGTGAAAATCCCTGAAAAAAGGAAAGTGAGAAGCTTTCATATCAAACACAGATCAAGATAGGATAAAAAAAATCTAATTATTCTTTTAAATATTACCACTGCCAGTCAACAGAAAGCTCAGATAAAAAAGTACAATCACACAAATGCCTGTAAGGATGTTTACTGTAAGACAGAAGCTGTATTTCAACATGAAACGATCAGCGGGAAGAATAAAAGTAGAGGAGAGAAGGAGATGTGAGGGATTGATTGAAAATGGTTTCGGTCATCTGAACCGATGGAGGAACAGATGGTGGCGGCAGCAGCGTGAATCCAGGAGTGTTCAGGGACATTTTCTCTGAGTAAATCACTTCCTCTTATCTTAGCGAACCGACGTCCTGCAACAAGATGAGACAGTGTCTGTTCGAGCAGCGCTCCTTATCAGTGACTTTACTGTGGAGCGTTTTCTCTGCTGAGACAGGGACTGAAGACTAAAAATGTCTTGTAAAAGGTCAGATGAAAGCAGTTGCTTTGAGCTTTCTGTTGCCTTATTATTTTCATATCTACAATTTCAGCAATAAAACTGCACCATTTTATGGATGGCATAAATTCGAATCCAGTGTCGACTTTTATCCTACTGATTATGTATTTTGAGATAGCAGTGTACAATTAATARAAGAATACAAATAGATGTTTTCTCTTAAATTAGATCATTTGTTGAAGGTTTTAATGCCCTCACCTTTGTCAAAATGTAAAAAATATATTAAAGYAACAGCACAGAGTTTTTCTCCTCACATCGTGCTTTTGCTTAAGATTGTTTATTCATCACTGGCTCTTACAGTAGTTGTTATCTAAAACACAGATGGATTTGCTGCTTCATCTTAAACTCTGTTCTCAGCTCTGAGATTGTTACCGTAGTTTTACCTGCTCATAAACTGAATGTACTGGGATTATGGGCTATAAAAAGAAACCAGATTGGGACTAAATTATTCATACATGATTAAAATTCATGCCACCTCACCTTCTGGGAAGAAAAAAAAAAGGAAAAATGTTCAAATTTCTAGTTAGGGCCTGTTTAACTATATCCAGGTCACAGGTGTGAACGGCCTGCTGCAGGCTGTCAGCACCGGATGAGTCCTTCTCCATGTTTGAGATTTTTCTCCTTTTTTTTAATTTATTTTTTTTGTAGATTACATTCTCTTCCTTCTACTCAATATTGAAGTTTCTCCTTCCACATTTTTGCTCACAATAGAAGAAAAACATTCTTCACTTACCTCTCCGGATCAGYCTAGTTAATTGTGCTTTTATACTGTTTTATATCTGAACCAGATGTTCAGAAATTCTCTTTCCATACTATATGTCCTTGAAAACGTGCCCAGTTTACTGCGCTGATTGAAATATTTTTCAGAGAGAAATGGTTCTTGTAATCTAGACGGAGTCGCTCTGTACATCAAGTCATCTTATGTGACAATTAGTTTTGTTATTTTATGATTAGGGGAGAAGATGGTTTTGATTAAACACAAGTCCTGAATAGTAGGTGTTAGATGGCTGAACTAACAGAGACAACAGGCTGTAATCTGTTATTAACAAATCATTGGAATTTGGGCAGAAAATCACATTTTATCACTGCCGGTGTCTGTCAGCAGTGCTGTTTTTTCTTTCTTTTTGTTTCCTTGTAAGTGTTTTTTTCTGTATAAAGCAGGCTCAGCACMTTATGACTTGTTTTTTGTTCATCTTTGTCAGTCAGTCCTTGAATCAAATGAGTTTAAAAGTTGCTTTGCGGAATCCGTCGTAAATGTCAAAGAAAACATTGCAGAGTTTATTTTTCTTATTTGACTACTTGTAGAAAACATATCAGCTGTTGCTCTTCGTGTAGTTTCAGGTCGGCTTCTTTTGCCATTGGTTGTACTGATTTTTCAAGGGTGACACAGGTTTTCAGTGTTTATCATTACAGCTATTTGGATTTATTTATTTTATATTCAGTCAGACAGAAGTAGACAACACACAAACCATATTGAAAATAGTTCATTTTAATTCATTGTCTCACAGCATCACTTAGTTGTGTGTTACTAAGCAAATGTTAGATTGTAGAAAACACAAGAAAACTAAAAGCGTGGGTGTAAAGACGGGTAGAGAAAACTGAACAGAAGAAGTTAACATGTAAAACAAACAAAACAAAAAAACAGACACAATATTAAAACCACTGACAACTAAAGTGAAGAACATTTATTACCTTATTTTAATACGGTGTTTTGGTGCTTTTTAAATCTCAAACTTCAAATGGATATTACTTTGTTTGCAAACCTATGTTAACACTCTTCCTAAATAATAACATTTTGGTCAGATATTGAGTTTGATTTGTGGATGGCGAGTCTAATATCCAGAATAACTACATTAATGTTATATATCAAGACTCTGAACTTTTACACTGAACAGCATGTAAAATACATAGATATGTTATTCCAGGTCATCCCTAATGATCAACATTACACTCAGAGGGTTCTAAATCGACTCATAGGTTAATTTTATGAATACATGTGAGGACAGGAAAGATGTTGTTGTCAAAGTATTTGGCACATGTTTGGCTCCAAACAAATACGGTGATGTAACTCATTAAATGTAAACCACACTGCTCATGAGCAGTCAGGTTACGTAGAGAAACATGTTTGTGAAATAATTTTACAGCCTGCAAACCCTTTCTCTGAAGGGCTGCCAGAAATGCCAGTTATGTCAGGGTTTAACAGCGTTCATTCTCAACGCCTCACAAGACAAATCTGGCTCAACAGGATGTGTGCAGAGCTGAAGGGAAAAGCCTGAACGTACTGAAATCTACACGACGTTGAACCACTGACAGACTGGAAAGTGTGCTGATGTTAGAAGAAGTTGTGAAGCTTACCGTTTATTTCGTCACAAATACTGAACTGATTTAAGCTAATAAATGACACGAGAAAAAAAATAATATAAAAACCATCGGTCCTAATCTAATTCTTAACAGTTACAGTCAAAGTGGACTTTTCACCTTGTGCTTAGTCATGTAATTATTGAATTGTTTCAGGTTTTGTTTCATTTTATGTTTAGATTTTTGTCCTGTAAAAATACATCACCACAATTTAAAGTTAAAATTAATTAGCAGAAATCAAAAAGTCACGATCCTCACCTTTTTGCCCTCAGAATCTATAAGCCTCACACCGTAAAAGTTTTTAAAATTTATTTTATAGTTTTCCAATCATAGATGTGCGAACAAACAAGACCTTTTTTGTTGGCAAATAATATGATCCTGGTCAGCACGATGGATTAGTGGTTACCACAGTTGCCTCACAGCAAGTTATAGTCATAGGTTCAGTTTCTCATTTGTTTAAAATGATTTTGTGAAGAACATTTTACATTCATGATTATGTTTGAACAAAAAGTTGAAAACCAAGGGTCCAGTTATGATTTGGTCTATTTTTCTTAAATCTCATCTTTAAAGATTTGACTTGGTGTGATGTTAACGGTCTGCTCTTTAATGTTCTGTTAGACCAGGTCATATGCAAACACAGAACAGTTAAAGGTCACAAACATACATCACAGGATTGCAGGTACATGTACTGTAGGCTCCCGCCACTCGCTGAGCTCGGCGTGGCTCTGTTCCTCTTGGCCAAGCTGGTGTCTGAGCTGCAGCAGYAGGCATAAAAACAAGCACAGCACATGACTGAAAATAGTCTTCTTATTCCATCTTACTGGCCTTTAATTGTATGACAGCAGCTGCCTGCTGGGCTCGTTACTAAGCCGGTGCAGAGCAGGAAGTTATTCTCGACTTGAGCTTCTTATCTATCCACAGAAGACAGCATCTCCCATGTTCTCTGAAGTTGACTCCTTCCTTATTGCTGGAACAACCGGTTATCATCCCATTAGCCTCTGGCGAAGCAATCACACATGCCCTGACACAGGCACTGGCAAAACCCGTAAACTAAGCAAACTGTCAGGCTCGATGGCACTAAACTAACACATACGATTCCAAGAGTCACTCTCTGGATCACTAACAAGTAGATTCCTAGAGGCAGCGAACCAAAATATAAGAAACCCAGCAGCCAGACCAAGATGCGTGGGACATGATTACAGAACTTAGGCAAGGGATCAGGATCAGCAGGCCCGTTAGAGCCTATTGACACGGAGTCCAGGCTCTGCTCAGCGTAGATATCAGAGCTGCCATTCCGGCTTGGAGAGCGCTGCGAGTCCCTCGGAACCTCCATTATAGTGATGACTAGGCAGTTGGAGGAGTCGCAGGACGAGCTGGTGGAGGAGAAACTCTTGGGAGTCAGGACCACCTCCCTGTTCTGGTCCGTGCTACTGGGCTTGTCCCGCATGGCCAGGTGGGACATGATGTTAACGTCGTCGGGCAGAGCGGAGACCTGGCACTCTGTGATCTCAGTCTGGTGTCGGCAGAAGGGGCAGGGAATGCAGCCCGCTCTGTCAGCGATGTCCAGGATCTTGATGAGGCAGCGGGTGCAGACCCGATGCAGGCAGTCCAGGATCTTAGGCTTCCGGTTGTGTGCATTGTAGCGCTGGTAACAGATTTTACACTCCAGTTCTTCTGGGGTCGAACAGTCTTTCTCTTCCGACTTGGTCTGAGGACTGCTCATCTTCAAGCCATGGTCTGGGGACACAAATGTAGACGGATAGAAAAACCGAGAGTTAGAGGGATAATTAACAGTGTTTAGATGATCTTAACTTGTTCTTTCATGTTTCCTTCAGGCAGATGTTAGAGAACAGACTGAAACAAGAGGATGTTTCTGTTCACAGCAGGAAAAGGTCAGAGCTCAGCCTTCTTCTCCGACAGCTCTGACTCTGTGTACCTGCTGCTGATGAATGATTTATGGCTTGGGAATTAGATCAGGGTGTCATCCCTGTGCCCTTTGTGGCAAAGCAAAAGCCACTACTGATATTGATCTGTGGGGAAAGGTGGCATGGGGGGAACAACTCAGCACAGAGTCATTGCAGCTGTTCGATGAAATTATGAAGCCCTGAACATAGTTTTTACATTATTGGTTTGTGGCTTCCTCTTTTGTTTTCTTTCTTTATTTTCACAAAGATTAAATAATGCACAGATGTCAAACTCTGGTCCTTGGGGGCCGCTATTCAGCATGTTTTCTTGTTTCTCTGTTCGAACACATGTTTTACACGAATGGATGATTAACAGGCTTCTACAAAATTTGAAGAGGTAATTGAATCACTGAATCAGGTATGTTGGAGCAGAGAAACAAGGAAAACATGTAGGATAGTGKCCCCTGAGGACCTGAGTTTGACCCCTGATAAAACCTTCTTCAGCTTTTCATGTGATTTCAATACTACATCAATTCCACTCATTGAAGGCATTCCTTCCTCTTTTTGATTGATAAATACACAAGTGGGCACCACAAACTACAAACTATTAAACACAACCCTTTACTTTAGGGCTGTGCTTGGTCTGTAAGTGTGTTTCAGACAGTGGTACATGTCCAAGTACGATACCAGGACCCTGTCCCCACAAGTTTTACCTGCAGAACATTGTTGATCAATGCTATACGTTTCTAACCTTTACTTCTGTACTATTTGTGCAAATAATCATGACAGACAATATTGTTTTAATCTGGCAAAATGGCAAAATATCTCATGAACCACTGTATTAGATTTTAATGAAACCATTAAAACCATTGGATGTACATCTACAAGTGATTTAGAGTCAACCCCAAAAAGCTAATTGATCTTAGCCAGCACAAAACTGACTTTAACTCCATCAGTTTTAAACGTTTGTAGCTACGCTCCCTACAACAGCCCTTGGGACCATGAGGCCAATTCCTTAACTTTTGCTGGAGACTAAAAAATGTTACATTTAATAGGGTTGACATTAAAAGATGGTACAAGAGAAGAACATTTCCGCTTTTATTTCCAGGTGTTTGAAGAAGACCAAATCAACTACAACTTCATAATTCTCAACATAAGATGATTTTAGTTTAAAACTCTGAAACGTGATATGAATTCCTTTAGCAAATGTTGGGCATTTTAATTTGAGATGTTTTCAAGGTCCTCACTTGTGTAATTTGTTTTAAAGTAATTATTTACTCCAACTTGAGATTATTGTCAAGTTGATCTACTCTGCTGTTTTGTTCGAGACTGCCCATGACATCCTCAGTTTGAGAGAAACATTAAAAAGGTGGAACAATTAGTACACAATCTGTGTTTAATCACTATAAAGCAACTAAACGTGCAGCAGAAATCCCTGTTTTTCTGCACCTCTATATGGATCTTGCATTAAATCATCAAGTTGGCCAGGCTTTGGCTACGTTCACACTGCAGGCAAATCCGACCCAAATCCGATTTTTTTGACCCATCTGACTCATATCCGATTTTTTTATGACAGTCTGAACGCGACAAATCCGATTTTTTCAAATCCGACCCAGGCCGTTTCAGTATGTGGTTTTAAATCGGATATATATCTGATGTTTTCAAAGTGACTGCAGTGTGAACGCTCATGTCACATTCATCTGACTTTTTCATCAGGAGGAGGGGGTGAAGGATCGATAAGACACTAACCTCAAGTCTCGCTGTTTAAATCTGTAGCTCCATGTGTTTACAGATCCAAAACACAAGTCCAGTTGCTTCATCTTTTTACTTTTCATTTTCCAAGTAGATAGTTTGATAATAACATGTCCAGCCTGGGTCGCGGAGAGTATCGATCCTACAGTTAGATACTCGGTCGATACTTTTTTCCAGCTCGTAGTTTCGTTCAAAAAAAAAAAAAAAAAGCTTCACTGGAGCATCKCGGTCAGAGGCAGCTTCAGATATAAGCACTGAACTAAAGAAGCAGGTCAAATAATAATTTAATCGGCTCTGATTAAACAACAACTTCAGATTCGATGCGCAAAATGTAGCATCCATGCTAGCTCTGTAAACAAACAAGCCGGCTGATGAGACGTCACGTCTTTTACTGCGCATGCGTGTCACATCAGTGCTGTGTAGCGTTCACACAGGGGTCTGATGCAGGTCACATTTAAAATGTAATGTGAACGTTCACACAAAAAGATCGGATTTTTTCAAAAAATCGGAACTGAGCATTAAGACCTGCAGTGTGAACGTAGCCTTTGACTCATTGCCGAGATTCCTTGCGTGACACAATTTATTGATTTGTTTTTCATGCTTATACAACACAAATAAAAGTCTGCCGCTGCTCAGTAATTTTAGGTTCAACTTGCTTTGCAGATACTTTTTATTATTCATAGTTGCGCAAATATACGTTGCTTGTTTTTCAACTTTTTGCAGTGATGAGGATACTATAATCAGCCGCTAGAAAGTGTTGACATGGCCATCTTTTTTTGTACAACCTAACCAGCGGCTCTTCTATTATTCATTTGTTAAAAGAAGGCAAGGGACCCGTGTGCATTCTGTAATGTATTCTATAAAAGGGGCAATCAGCAAGGTAAGCACTGTCATGGAAGCCAATTAAAAATGAAGTAGTGAATGGTAAGAAAGGTCCTGTAAAACCTCAGAAGAGGACTTTCATTGAGCTCAGCTGAAGTGTTTGATTCCTCACGTTGCCTCTTATACTGAACAAGCAACACCTCCCATCATAGGCAGAAAGAAAAGGCTGCTATCTTTTCATTTATGAACATAAAATATTAATTGAATAGGTGGATGTTGCTTTGGCAGACACCCAGTAGGACTTCCTTCGACTTGCTTATTGTTAAATATTTCAGCAACAGGTCAGTTGCATTAAAAAACCTTCTGAAGCATGTCAGAAAGAAGAACTTCTGGATCAAACCCAACAGCAAGAAGAAGCCCAGCTCTGATACTGTGCAAGAAAACAAAACAGATATACATGATTATGCATCTGCAAACACTCTGCATCCATTAAGAAAGTAGTCTGTCAGTATGCATCCTAAAACATTTTAGTTTCTTTCTGTATATGCTTTAAAACAATGTGATCATTCATTACATTAGCTTATTTTCTTCTTTATCCAGGCTTTTGCCTGCTAAATGTTCTTTTATGGGACATTATGACCACTACCTCTCTGTTAGTGTGCATATTCACCCTGTAATCAGAAATATATGTTTCAGTTTCCAGCCATACGTTCATCTCATACTTTATGTCAACTTCATACCTGTCATTTGAATAATAACTGATGTTTTTTTGCAACTCACATAGATGACAGCTACTTATAATGTAAGCTTGAAACTATTTTTTTTTCTTTTGGCAGGTGGTGAAGGGTGGTGTGAAGTTATAAATAAAGAATAAGCACAAATGTGCCCTTATAAAATGTTTACTGTCTGAAAAAATTCCTGAAAATAAAAAACAAACAAAACTATTGATCAGACAGTTTTTAGAATCCAAAACACAGCACATATTGTTCCTGGTTTTTGTTCTGACTAAGCTTCATTCCATTTTCTGTAGGGTCCCAGATGCTCCATTTCTGAATGCTAAATTTTAGTTTCTGTTGACAAAATAAAAGCTGTGGAAATGTGAAATTGTTCACTCTCTTTCCTTGAACATATCTTGTTAAACTAAACTTAAAAAGTCTAGAAATAATGAAAACGTTTGGTCATGTTGATGTTTGGAATGACAACATTTTGGAGTGAGTGAATTAGAGAGTCACAAGGAAACAAAATAAAGTGCTGGGGTGGGCATTATAAAATCTGAAATGCCAAAATATAAACCCTAACAGAACCAACATGGAATAATGAATAAAACTAATATATGCAAAAATAATAAAACGACAGAAAAGCAGATTAAAAACATTGTGATTTTAAGTGCTAATGAGAATAAAACATGCCACGTATGTTGTGTTCGCAGTGGCTCCACTCTTTTGGTTTTAAACCTGATTAAAGACCATGAAGCTGTTACACAAAATCAGTCTAAAAACCATTGCCAAAACAATCCCAAATCCTATGAATTAAAAAAAATACTTCTAATCAATTGGCTTTATTTTTGCCTTGAAAGGGATTTTTGATTTAAAGATTAAAGCCAAGCCTGAGCTGCGTTAACACAGCTGTAGAAGTCAACGCTTAGCTTCAGGCACAAGTGAATCATCACTGAACTGCACAGGTCAATACACCTCATAGCTTCTGACAACTCCATTAAACACTGTGTTTACCTGCTTGTATAGCCTGAGATAAGAGGAAAACTATATTACACACTAATTTTAGGCTTTATAGGGACTACTTAACTTGGAGGGATTGAAGTGATGATTAACTTTGTCCAAAAGTTCCCCAACTGTAAACTATAATAATAATTAGAGAAAATATTTCCATTGCATGTATCAGATTTTTGTGCTGTATTGTAAAGCTGACACCTTTTACATTTTATTTTAACTTATTTGAACTAAAGGTCTTTGTTAGGTTTGGTTTAAAAAAACTGCTTGACTAAATTAAGAAGTGTTTTTAGCTTGCTTTATCACTGGACTAACATGTACTCAGTAAAATCCCAGCCTGGTAGCTTAGCACGTTTGCTATAACAGAAGATAAATATTTTCCCCTCTGGTTTGGTGATAATGGTGCTGTTCAAAATACATCAGCTTTAAATTGCAGTCATAAACAATATTTTTTTCCACAACTTAAGCTGAAATGGGAGCAGCTAAAGCATGAAATAAACACAATATTTATTAGTAAAGTGAGTTTAGTTTG